TATACAGTGTGCAGTGCACAAGGAAACTTTAATCTGAGTCTGAACAAGTTTTTCATTACAACGATTTATGGCAGAAAATAAAATCAACAACTATCCCGCAAAAGGGCCAAAGTTCAGCACTCGAGATTCCTTAGCAATTCAACGCACTGCAGCTGTAATTTCTCCGCTCCGGACATTCGTTCTCCGTAAGCTGCAAAGGCAAGCTCAAATATTTATAATGCTGTCCAACACTTGGTTGACCACAACTGCTGGCCTGGCCAAGAACATTGACCGCAGTCCGAAAAATAAATAAATAAAAAAACAAAAACAAAGAAACCCAGAAAACATGGCAATCGAAGGGGAGGGAAAAACAATAAATTGATTTTTGTATCTCCATGGCGAACAAGTGCAGGATTCGGGTAAAGAAATATCCAGAGTGCTCGCACACGCCCCGATAATTATGAAATTTGAGGCAAAGAAAATCTAAAAAACCCAAAAATAAGAGAAACAAAATTTCTACAGAAAGCAAAAATCAATTTATGAGGCGAACACGCCCCGAAAACTTTGGAGCCACGACGTTTAACTGCAAAACGCCCAGTTTCCAAGGCGTGTCCGAGCAACAGACATTTGAAAGGATACAAGGCGAGGAGTCCGCAGGACAATGCCGGGCCGCAACATATGCGAAAGGGATAATAATTCACTGGCCGAAAGGCGATGGGAACAATGGTCGCATAACTCAGGCGCGCCAGATGAACTAAGGACGTGTATAGGGATTCGACGGACTGACCGACCGCATTATGGACTCGGGATCGGCCCTAATTCAAAGGACACGCGCACAGCGGGAGATGTGCGATGTCCTTTTGCCCACGTTTGATGTGCTGCGGCGACTAGGAATTGACATTTAATGAGCAGAGTCCTCGCTCCCACGCAGCACCGATGGGAGTTTTATTTGAACACTCACAAAATTCATTTTTATTTTGTTTATCCAATTAACTAAATTATCTATACATTTGGCTCTAAGCAGCTAGAAAATTAGAATTATCCAAGTAACCCATATTAGCCAATTCAAGAAGTGAACTCTTCATACAGATTGTAATATTTCGGAACCTATTAACAAATTTAATAAATTACAAAATTATATTGTGTATATTTTATTATTATATTAATATTACATATATTTTATGTTATATATTCTTTGACCTAGAAAATGTATTGAAATTAAATCTTAATGTAAAGCGCACGAGTAAAAGGAACTTATAAGGTTTAGGTTCAGCTATAATAATTTTTTTATATTTATTATCTATTTTAATAAAATTACAAATCCTTAGATTTATACATAGACTTATTATTTAGATAGACAATTTTAGAGAATTAAAGATTACTATCTTTTCTTTGAGTGCATGTTCTTACATAAATCCCGGCTAGCCAGGACCTCGTTTGTGCAACACCTTTTGTTATCGCCGAAAACACTTGTCCTGGGGCCCTCGACTCCTCGCCGCTCAGTCGGATGGCAAATATTACATTGTTACCTGGACTTTGGACTGTCCCATGTTTGCTGTCTGGTGGACGTCTGGTCGATGGGGATTTTCGATTAGCTCTCACACATATCAAAATCGGACGTTAATTGTTTTCAGGTTCGTGGCATGTCAACAGCTTCAAGCACGTCGCCGAGTTGACCGAGGTTTTCTACTCGATTTATCTGTCTAGCCGGCTAAATTTTATGGATTTGTTTTGTCTGCCCGCACCGAGATTGCAACAATTACTTATGAATCATGTCTGCAAGACTAAGTCTTAACGACTAGTTTTAAGGAGCATTTTAATGCGATTTTTTATGGCCACACTCTCTTGAGGCTGTAGACTAAGGTAACCCATTGACTTTATGGGGTACTAATAATTAAACGATGATAACCAATTATGTTTTGCAATTATTCTGCTAATGGTTACAAATTGGATATCAATTTTAAGTACTGCTTGATAGATTTTTGTAAGTAAGTTATAATATTGTAATTAAACTTTATAACTTTAATTTTTAAGATAACAATAAATAAATCAAAGTGCGAGGTATTTCTATCTATCTGACGGTTGTCGGTGACTTCTTGCTTAGTAAACAATTTGTACTTGTCATTAAAATCACAGTTTCCTCATTTCCCACACTTTAAGATCTGATTGGGAGTGCTCGCAAATCGCTTGACTTTTGCGCTTTTGTTTGCCCTTCCGATGAATTAAAATCCCCGGCACACACGCAAACATATCAGCGTAGGGCAAACAAGTGCTGAGGCGAGACGAGGGTCCTCCACTTTGACCACATTGCGGCCAAGTACTGGTCGCATTCTGGCCCAAGAGCACCAGCTGTTGTTCCAACACACCCCACCCAGAGTCCAACCAACCCAACCATCCACCACCCACCACCTTGCAGCCACCACAAATTCCACCCGCGAAACAACCAACAGAATTCTAATAATTTTAAACAAAAACAAACTTCCTGGCCACATGCCTCATGCCCATGCAGTCTGGTATTACAGAAATTACAATGAGCGAGTTTAGAGAATTCGTTTCGAAATTTCACGCCACCGTCTGTGACGAAATTTTTTTGTGTGGCTAAGGACAAGTGCAGCGGTGGGCAGGATGAGTCACCCCCTTTTTGCAGAGGGCAACCCTCGGTGGCAAGTGGAAAAAGGTTGCAATCCGAAACCCAAAAACGAAACCCAAAAAAGCATCGCAACCCCGTAGACACACAGTTGCCACTTTTAATCAGCATGAAAGTTCCTGTTCCCGTTCCCAACCGGCTGTTCAGCTATTTAAGGACCCCGGAGATTCCGATTCCCCCGAATTAAAACTCAGCCGAAAATGAAAATTTCTATACTGCGTTAGTTCGCTTTTTGTTGAAGGCGAAATAAATGAATGCATGAATTCCAAAGCAATTTTGATGTTGACATTGAGTAATGTTAGCTCCGTTCAGCCTGGCTGCCACACTCTGGGATCTGGGATCTGCTTGGGGTCGTGTTCTTCGGTGGGTGGTTGTTTGGTTTGGCATTTTCATATCATTTTCGAATATTACATGCGGATTAGCATTTCCTCATCGGGATTGCAACAAAACGTGTGCCCATCTATTGGGGGTCTTTGTGGGGTGATTTGGGCTGTGGCATGAGGCATTGCGGATGGCGACCTTTCAAAAAGGGGGTGGTTCGCTGCACTGGGTGGGTGGTTTGGCCTTTGTTTGGGGGAGTGTGCTGTCGATTACCCTCGGAAGGTGTTTTTTAGTGTTCTTAAAGGTTTTGTTCAAAAGAAATTAAAGTGGTAAGCAAGGCGTTAAAGAAGGAAGTTGATGCCGGAAAAGATAAGATCATTAATGAAGGTTTAGAAAAAAGGGTGAATGTATATGTTTAACAAGTTTAAGCCAGTTACAGCTATAACAGATACAAAATAAGTAGAAGTATTTTTTACAACTTAATTAATTTCCCTTTTATTAAGAATTTTTAAAATTAAATTGCTTTTAACATTACTAAAAAAATTAATGTATTTTGCATACTAGTTCTATTTAAAAGTTTTGTAAGACAGAATATCAAAGGAAGTATAGTGTCAATATATTGATTATCTTTCAACCCGTATCGAATTAATGTTTATTAATTTAGATAATTGTTGAAAAGTTCCTAAGATGTTAAACATAAAAGCATAAAATCCTCTGCCAACTCTTCGCAATCCACCGCATTGCATTCATAGTTTCCCAAACTCAAATAGCTCTCCTCATTTTCCAACCTTAAAAACTTGCCATATTCTTAGCATAAACCTCCAACAACTTTTGGCTCTTACAACCCGACTTTCGGACAAGTTTAAGGAATTTCCCAAATCAACAGCCTTTCAGAAACCGAATGGTCGCGAAGGGGGATTTTGGGGGGAGTTCGACGTTGGGTTTTCCACTCACCCAACGTCGAACTAACTTTTCAATTTTCTTTTCACGCTCGCATTTTACAAGCTGCTACATGATTAGGGTCAATGGATCGGGGTCCCTACGTCCCGCTCCGCTGGAAAACTGTAACAAGCTGCCAAATTTCACACTCAGTTTCTGATTCTGAAATAACTCGAACGAGTACACCTAACGAAGTAAAAGTTTGGTGGCAGGGCGGTAAAAGGGGAGTCCGTATCTCTCAATCTTGTCATCACTGCGATTGTAATCATAATAACATTCACTGAAAATTTTATTATTAGCTCACAGTTTATTAAAAACCCATTGGGCTGGCTGGCCTGCTCCGATTTGTTTGCCGGGATTACTGTTTGCTTTCGGTCTCGTCCCTTGTTTGTTATCGAGATCATGGACACATGTCGGGGATGGCTGATTACCGACGCTGGATAAATATTAAGCAACTATGTGGAGGGCTTCCTCTTTGGAGATTCGGGGAAGGATTCGGGTGACGACATCGTCGGGCGCTTCCTTGCCGTAGTTGACTCTCTGCCAAAGGGCACAGAACTGCTCCCCCAAACTGGTAATGAAATTTTGGCTTCGAGTGCTATCAGCATATACATATAGACGGGGGAATCCCCCGGCCAGCCAACTCCACTCAAGTTGTTATTGTTTTTGTTTTGGCACGTGGCACGTGCAACGTGGCCAGGAAATGCCCTGAAATTGATTTTTATTTTTATTTTAGTTGAGAGTCTTTGTTTTTTTCGGGCTCTTTTTTGCCCCGGGGCCTTGGCGTAATTATTTCTGTCCTCTGTTCCAGCATGTGATTAGATTTTCGAGTAAAAGTTTATTCAGCTTTGTTGTCGCTCGATTATAATTAAAAATGATTAGCTCATAAATATTTCCTCCTGTCGGGGAGAGATTTATGACAAGGTAAATACGGAGACAACAGATGCCCCGAAGGCCAAGGAAATGTTCCACTTGAAAGTAAAGTTCAGAGAGAACTTTGGGGTGGAAATCCTAAGGGGTGAATATGAGATATGACTTGATTGCGTTTCTTTTGCTGTTAAGATAAATAACTCTTTTTTACTGATCTTACAATCATACATTTTAAATTCTACTTTCACAAATGAACTATGTCAGCAATATTTTCACAATTTAAGTCCATTCCATTCATCTCAGTTACTAAAATTCAAAAATTTTATAATTGTGGCTTTTTTTATAAAATCATACTTATGTTCTTACATAAACATTTTACAGCTTCCAATTCGCATCGGGTGATATTGCTCCACTTGGATCCAATTTCTTGACTGCAATTTCGATTAAACTGATGTGCAATGTCATTGTACTTTCCGTTTGTTGCTTCAGTTTCCTGACACTTTAGCAGCAGATCATTGCACTTGAAGAGATCGCCAAAATATCCGGCTTTACTTCCATTAAAAACACTGAGAACTTTAAGGAACTTAGAATTGAAATACAATTTTTGATAAACTTAAACATATTGATTTTAACTAAAAAGGCAACCTTACTTTATACGGCTTATATATATTAAAACGACCCCCAAACTCTTTTGTGTTAAGTCGCCATTCTGTTTTAATAAACGGTTTGCTGAATAGTAAGGCCATATGTTTATTACAAAAGATTTACTTGATTAAGTCTTTGTTAGTATCTGCTGTTAATTAAGACAATATACTGCAGTGCTAATAAGCTTTTTTTATTATATCTTATTTATAGTTCCAATACTTCGGCAATATTATTGCAGGACATGTCATCACAGCGACGTAAGATTACTGAAATATTAAATTAAATTTCAAGGAAGAAAATAAGAGGCTGAAAGATAACTCACGAAGGCAGGTGGCCTTTTCCATTTCACATCGAGATACATTATTCCATCTTCCTAGACGCTCCCGACGACAATATCGATTAAAAGAATCTATAGTCTCATCAAATCGGCCTATTCTAGGAGTAAATCGTTGACAATCCTTGTATACATCCTCACAGTACTCGCGATTCGATTGAGCTTGAATATAAGACAAGTGCAGAACACAAAGGACTGACACAATTTTTTATGAGTTAGGATACAAAAGAATTGGTGACAAAATATCAAACCCACCTAAGAGGAGCGAAATTTTCCACATTTTATTCAATGTGATCTTAGCAAACTGATGCCGAATTATCTGTGGAGTTGTATTTATATGAGCAAAATGGAAAAATTCACACCTTTCCTTAAAATGGGCTATCTATATGAGATCTATTTTTATTCAGGTGGCCTTTTGTTAACCTGGTTTTTGATCCTATTATGAGAAAATATAATGCTCTCAAGGGCTATCCTTGCTCTGATTTAAATAAAAAAATGTTTTTGTTTCGCACAGTAATTTCCAAGTGTTTTCTCTCTGGTTGACTGTGTATAAAACCGGTTCATTACCCACCAAATGTCAGTTGATGTTCATCAGCTGAACTAAAAATGAAAAGCGTTTGCATTTTTTCCTTAATTATAATCCTTTGCTGCTTGTCAATTAAGGCGCAGCGTCTAAATTGCAGCAGGATTCGAGAAAATTGTCGTCCTTGTACTCGCCGTTTAGTGGATCCCATTAACAATCTGGAGTTCATAAATAGAGATTGTAGAGAAAAAGTCAGGGAACGTTATATTTGGCGGGATGTCAGACGTTGCGAAATGCAAATTTTTGCGTGCGAAAGTAAGATTTCTTTAAACAATTTAAAAATAATTAATTTAATGTTGCTTATGTATGTTACAGATCATGAGAACAGATTGGACTGCGAAAATGTGGCTAGGTTAACTGGAATGAGAAGGATACGTTAAATTGACAAGCAAATATTAATTAATGAACATTAATATCCTCAATTGAAAAATTGTAAATTTTACCATTTTCCTTTTTAAACTTTCCAGGAAAATTATTATTTTATGCATACTATCTAAAAATAAATATAATATACATAACACAATGAAGAATCCCACAGCTTTATTCTTTATTATTGACATACAATATAATTTTGTCTGTGAACTTATCCCGTCTCTAAATTTCTATAATCTCTATAGATTCTAGGAAAATTACAATAGTTGAAAGTAACATCGTAAATTATAGCACATGTTTAATAACAAACTGACTACTCTAAAACCAAATTTCTAACTTTTTCTGAAAATGTTTAGAAAACAGATGTTTGGAAAACTGAAAATAAGGCTTGGATTTTCTTTATTTCATTATAACACTACAAAATATGTTTTTATATAAGATGCATACGGTGGGAAACGTTCTTACAAGTCGGACTTTCACAATCTCGTACAGTAGCTGAAAAATAAAAATTATTCCAGGTGGTACAGAACATTCCTGTATTCCCACTAACCAGGCTATTCGGAGAAGATCACATCGGCTGAGGTCTGGCCAGAATCCGACCGCTGACAAAATTCATTAAAAAATTGACAGGTATCGTCTTTCTTTCCTAATTTTGGTTTACTATCAATACATACATTTCATGAAGTATACGGACATGACTAGATCGACTCGGCTAGTGATCCTGATCAAGAATATATACACTTCATGGGGTCGGAAACGCTTCCTTCTGCCTGTTACATAATTTCCGACGAATCTAGTATACACTTTTACTCTACGAGCAACATGTATAAATATGACTGCTAAATCAATATTTACAGTTTTCGGAGATTAAAGATCGTTCCACAATTTGAAAAACACTTGGTACAATTGAAATTCAAGAAATCTTTATATCGATTTTTGATGACAATAAACTTGATTGATTTTGAGAGATATCAGAATGACTTCGTTAATTATGGTCGCAGGCTATCGGCCACATTTTTGCAGGAGACATTATCACAGCGAACCATTGTCACTGGGAAGTAAAGCAATTGATGAAAACAAACTTAATAAATTCATAAAGACTAGCTTACATATGCACGAGGCCCGGACCAGTTCACATCGGGTTATCTTTTTCCAGTTCCGGTCGTGTCGCCCGCAATAGGCATTGAAGAACCCAACGGTATCGTCCTCAGTTCCCACGGTGGACTGCTCGCGACGACAATCGTCGAACAACCGATCGCAGAATCGGCGACCCGAAGCATCCTGAGCCAGGATCTGGGCCACCAAAATGCAGCAGAGAGCTAAATGAGGGGAGTTACATAATAAGCTACTGCCTTTATAACACTAACTTACCCAACGCGAGCACTAATTTTGACATTGCAGTAGCTTTTTAGATGGGACTTGAAAACTATTCTGACAGATTCGAATTAATCTCCTTCGTATTTATACCCTAAAAATGAAGTAAGGAGTCAGAAATCTGAAATTATTCCCCAACAGATCTGAAAGGCCCTTTTTTCATTACAATCCAGTTACAATAGTTCATAGTATCTGTAGCTAAAGAGTTGTAATGGGCACAGATCTGTTCCTTTATCTTTAAAAACCAGGTGTGATCTCATCTGGGACAGGCTACTTCCTTGTTTTTCCACTTATATAAGGCTAGACTTTGATTTAATTTAAATCAAAGGGCAACCTACCGTTCATTTACGTGTACCTATCTTCAAAATGCAAATTACAATTATCTTCTGTGCACTCTTGATTCTCGGCTCTGGGTTTGTTAATGGGCAAGCTCCTGACTGTCGGAAGCTAAGGGAAACCTGCGATTCTTGCATCCGAAGACTGAATAATCCCATTAACGACGTGGAGTACATGAACAATGGATGCCGCGAGAACGTCCGCGGCAGATACATTTGGAGAAACCAGACCCGATGTGACCTTCAAGTCATAGCTTGTGGAGGTAAGCTTAAAATTATAAATAATCACAGTCAGTTTTATTTAGTTGTAAGTATTTGAATACTTTCACAGTTAAGCAATTGATCAATAACTAATATTTTTAAAATAATATTTTTTTAATATTAATTCGTACCTCCCACATTTCCAGCTCACAAGAGGAAAATGGATTGTCTAGTTATAGCCGAACTTGCCGGCATGCCCAGGCGAACTTAGAGGAATGCCCACCAGCAATATGATTATCCGAACGAACTCAGCTAAAATATTAAAAGTGATTTTGTCCAAATAAATGCACAGTTGCGAAGAGATTTGAGTTGGTTACTCTGGCTTGTCTGCCCGGCCAATAAAGCGATATGTTCTTGTCTCGGTCGTGGTCTTGGCCTTCAATTTTTCTGGGTCCTCAGCTCGAAGCCCTTCCAGGAATCAACAGTCGCCGTCCCGAGTGCATCTTCCACGTACGGGGCATTATCGTAAAGACGGGTCCAGACCAGCATCGCGATGAGTTGAGCCAGGCACGCACAGCACATCGTCATGCCTGTCTTACACTTGATGCATCCCGTCATCTCGTCTGGCAGTTCCTCAAAAATCCCCCCCACTTTTACCAAAACATAATTTTTCAAACGAAATTGTTTTGATTTTCTTGATGCCATAAAAAATGGGAATTTATTACTCGGCGGTCTGAGATTACAGTCAATGTTTTTGGCTCAGACGCCAGACGGGAGTTCATCTGGGATCTGAACTTGGGAGAAATTTTCCACGACAAGGGCAAACAGAGTGGCGCTTATTAATAAGTTGCCTATTTACTTGTCCTAAAATTGGTTGCGACCTGAGTTCAAGTCTATAATTAAAATGTATCTTAAATTATTTACACAATTGCAAAGTTGCTGGTCTAGTGTGGGTGCTATAAAAGTTCTGGTTGGAGCTAAGGATGCACACAGTTTCCCAGAACTTCTCTTAGAGGTTCCAACATGAAGCTAACTCTTATCTGTTTACTGGGTAGGTGAAGTATAGATATTGTTTAACATTTGACTAAAGAGGTATTTTCACAGTGAGCTTCATGCTGCTGCAATATGTGGAGAACAGTGAAGCCTGCTTGGAGGTAATTGAGCATGCCCTGGGGCTTGAGCCCTGCAAAGAGGGTGCCCGAAAGGAACATCATAAGGTAACTCATAAGGAACCTCATAGAAGTGGACCAGGACTAGTAAGAACCACTAGGAAACGTGTCACACTAAGGCCCAGGCATCGTGTAACAAGACGTAGTAAGCGGCACACCAGGAAACACCATAGGACCACCAGGAGCATTCCAGTTCCTCCAAAGGAACATACTACTCACAGAACGTGTACTGAGCCGACCAATCCACCTTGCAATGATAAGACTACCCACAAATCGTGTACTGAACCGACCAAACTACCTTGCACTGAAAAAACTACTCCTCCTTGCTCTGAGATTACTACTGAACCGACCAGCCGACCTTGCACTGAGGAGACTACTAATAAGATTCCTTGCTCCGAGAGTACTACAGAAGTTTCTAATCCACCTTGCACTGAAAAGACTGAACCTCCTTGCTCCGAGATTACTACAGAACCGACTACTGAAGCCACCAATCCACCTTGCGCAGAGAAGACTACTACTACACTAACGACCACCGAGGAACCCTGTGGATGTAAATCGAGTCACCCACCAGGATGGAACCCCGGCGGTCCCATACAGACATCACCTCCAAGAATAACAAAGGAACCCTGCGGATGTAAGCCGAGTCACTCACCTGGATGGAATCCTGGCGGTCCCATAAGGACGACCCCATCAACCAATACTCGAAAACCCTGTGGATGTGGTTCAGGAAACCCACCAGGCAGGAACCCTGGCGGTCCTAAAATTCCCATTCCCAATGTTCCCGGACATTTTGGACCCGGTCCAGTCATTCCCAACAGAGGAGGAAAGAGATGTGGTTGTCCTAATGAATATCCACCCAAAGAGGAGTTAGGCGAAGATCTTCGTATAATCCAGGACAAAATACAATTACTGCTTGACGAATGCATCCTACAGAGCCAAAGCTGTTGAAAGAAAAAATACTTCTGTATTGTTGACTAATAAAATAAATTGTTTTGCATTTATTTGATTTGCAAGTGTTTCTAAAGTCGTTAAAAAGCACAGATTTTTAATGAACATCTTAATCTGACCAAATGCATTTGAAAACCTTATTGTTATGCATTAAATGGGTCTTAAGTTAACTGAAGCCCAGGATGAATTTTCTGTTATGTTGATTTAATGAAACTTAGCAAAGAATGGCTTCTCAATATGCTTTTAATATAAACTGTGTGAACGCGCGTGTGTTCGTATGAAGTGCTTTTTAAATACTTGTAGCGGTTTAAGCTTTTACCCTTACCAGCTATCGGTCCAGATGCCCCGACCCCAGAACTCCCACTCGACACCCACTTCAGTTCACGTCATGAACATGATTATGTACTTTATGAATGTGCAGAGAAGCGATTGGACTAGCTAAAGCTAAACGATGTTCAGATACCCTTATAAAGAAGTGGACATAATATTAAAGCGTTCCCACATATATAATCTTTACTACTAAATTGTTAGAACTTAAATTGACTTAAGCAGAAACAAACTAAAGACTTCTTAAAAAAACAAAAAAAAAAGTTCAATAATATAGTCCTTTCTCAAGTACCATCCCTGTTTTTCATCACTACATTAATGTATCATTTTTAATTTTATAATAATGTAATACTTAAGAAAGAAAAAGAAAAATCATTTATGTATAAGATGTTAAATTGAAATGAATAATATCTATACATTTAAGTATTTTCTTAGATAGCGAATAGACCAGTCCAAAAGCTAGGGCATAGGTGGTGATGATTTTTCCACTCAGCCTGTGCCAACTGCTTATATAATATTTGAAAATTGAAAATCTTTTTGGCGCTGCACTTCAAAAATGCTTAGACCAGGCCATGATGATGAACTTTATAAAACTCTTGACCACATTTGCCGCACCCGTCGCCTCTCCCCTGCCATTTGAAAACGTCTTTCCTATCCTTTCGCTTCCACTTTGGACATGTCTGACCAGCTGACGTCCCAAAAAGCGGTTAGAGGAGGGTTCGGGACTCGGAACCCGGAGATGGGGTATACGGAATGCATTGCACTTGACTTTAGCGCCACTTGTAAGTGTAAATTTTATTTGAGCCAACGGAGTAGGAACACATGTAGACACTCACATTCAACCATGCCCTTTGTCAAGAGCCCCAAAGTGCCTGGCCAGCGATATTGGCGTTTGCACTCGGACTTGGTCTTGGACTTGGAAACATTTTGGACTTGGACTTGGACTGGGCTGTGGAGTATGGGTCTCCGTTTCGTTGTCGGTTTTTTGGCCCGGAGTTTGGCGTCGTGTCGCTGACAGCTAAGTGGTGATAATCGCTTTTGAATTGAATCTGAGCAAGTAAATTTTCACGCAGACCAAGTTGAAATTCAAAAATGCAACAGAGGAAAGATCCCAGAGCTTGGACACTGGCCATCGGACAAAAGACGTCACTTGTTTGGCTTCGCCCTGTCTCTTTTTTGGGTGGGCGTTTTGGTTTTTGTGTTTTGGCTGCGGCTTTATTCAAAAGTCCAGAGGAAGGGGCTCCGAGAAGAGGGGCCCCTGCGGTTTGTTTGGCTGGTTACTGTGGCTTCTAATTTGTGAACTGGATTTGCGGCTTCAAGTAACAAATGGGCGGAGGCTCAGCTGGAATTGTAAGTCATGAAATCAGGACTTAAAGTCCTAAGCCCCACAACTTGAATAGTTGAAAAGTTTAGGCGTAAATTAACTTTCGTTAAAAAGAAGCAGAAAGAAACCAGGTCTGTGGAAACACTATTTTAGAAAAATTAGCCCCTTAAAATTAAATTACAACGATCTTCTTTTGTTTTTTTGAAATGCTATTTAACTAACAGCGCTAATAGGACCTCATATCATCTTCTTGTAAAGCAAACAAAGTAAATATTTCAATGCTCTCTAGATTTTTATTATCAATCATTTTATCAATATGTGAGTTTGTTTAGTTAACACGGTCCATGCCAGCAATCTCAGCAATGTCATTACAGTTCATGCGTCGATCCGCTCCTAAGGACATGAATAGTATCCATTAAAAACTATAGAACTTTGAGAATTTTTTGAAACTTACCCAAGCAGTTCAGTCTGGTGAGCTCACAACGTCCTACGTTCCTCCAGCGCCAGTTCCTTCGGGTCCTTTCCCTGCACTGACTATTGAAGGTTGGCAGGTCCCGATCATTTCGGTTATTCAACCTTTCCACGCAGCGTTCACAGCTCCTGGTCAACTCATCGCAGTTCCGATTTTGTCCTGCGACCAAGGTCACAATAAGGACTGCAAGCCAGAAAAGTAGGTTATGTATTTTAGGGACTTACTTTTAGACCCAAAACATACCAGTTAATACGGCCAAAATAGCTTTGATATGCATGTTATGTCTAGATAACTCTTTACGGGAACTTATCAGTAAGCTAACTACCGAAGTGTTTGCCCCAACCCTTCTTTATATAAACACCAAACTCTGTACTTTTGCTGCTACCAAACCAGATGTTTTATAACAAAGAGTAAAGGTTATTAATGTAGAACAATAGGTTTACAAAACTTACATAAGCTCTTTTTAATAAATTTATATAAACTGGGTCGTCTTTTGAGCACATTAAAGGGCACGAAAACAATCACTTCCTGGTTTTAATAAAGGGCTATTATGTCACAGTTGCCATGGGTTTTTTCCGAAGGCTGTTTAGCACTTTATAAAAGCACGAGTACGAGCTGATTTTAAGCACTGAAGTCAACCAAGTTCTTAGCGGCAGTACCAAAATGCTAAAAACTACTCTTCTTTTTGGTAAGGATCTAGGTCGACGTGTTAATATTATTACATATCGATTATTAACCCAATTGCAATCCTGTTTTAGCTATCGCCTGCATCTTCGTGGCTGTTCAGGCTCAAACTCCCAGGCCTAACGAAATTTGCCGTACTGAAAACGAAAAATGCCGACGAAATGAACGGAGGTTGGGAAGGGACAATGATGTATCAAACATATTCAATAACCACTGTCGCCAGGCCCGTGGTATTACCAACTGGCGTAATGTTACCCGTTGCGAATTGACCCTGGCCTCTTGCCGATGTACGTAATTTACTATCCATCCTTAAGGTGAAAGACTAATATTAAATTACTATTTCCTTTTATAGTGACACTTGAGCGTTGCGCCGTCGTAAACTGCGAGAATGTGAGAAGAAACGTTGGTGGTGGAGGTGGTCCACCCTCACCGGCTCCAAGGACGACCACTCCTCGGAATCCTGGTCCCCAAACTCGGACTCCTCCTTCTGGCCGAACTACCACTCGTAGGGGTCAAACCACTAGGAACCCTTCAAATCGTAGATCCACTACTCGTAGGACACGAACAACTAGAACTCCATCTTCTCGCCGAACTACCACCCGTAGGACCCCAACAACCAGAACTCCTTCTTCTCGCCGAACTACCACTCGTAGGACAACTAGAACTCCTTCTCCTCGTCGTACTACCACTATTCGACCTTCTGAAGAGTAAACCACTACAGGACTCTTCTTGCCTCGCTAGAAATCAACTTAACTAAAATGCGTATTACTTAACCCCAATAAACATTTCAATGCTCTCTAAAAAAATTTTTTATTTTGAATGATCTGTCTTTTAATTCATATCATAAATAGTTTTCATATGGATTACAGAAATTAGTAATTATAAATCCGATTTCTTTTAGAAGCAGATTACATTTTATAACTATCTAATCAAAAAAGATTTTTACGTTAAAATATAAATATGAATGATATCAAGTTATTCAACTTAATTATCATTGCTTTTATTAACTTAATTTTAAGCTTCGTGGGTACTATTAATACTCAATGTTTCGGGCGAAACGCCTACAACTCCTACCTTCTTGGCTACATTGATCGAATTCGATGTGGCATTCTCGCTTTTATTTCGTGGCACTTCCAGCTTAATAATTTTCAATATATTCTGCGAGTTATTTCGGTACACTTCGTTTGGTAATGATGGGTAAAAGATGATTCCGGCTAAGCAAACTCCGAGCACCATTCCAACCAGCAGGCTAATGTAACCCCTCTTGCACGATCGACCTTTAAGTTTAATATAATGAAGTTTATTTTGACATTTATATTAATTTTATAATAATGAAATTAACTACAGCATACTCACCTTCACTTTGGAAAGATCTGTTTGCCAGTTTGCTATTTAGCTTTGCTGAGCTTATTGGGATCATTTCAGCTCAAGGTGTCTTTTTCGAATAAATAAAAAACGCGTCGTGCACACTCTTTTCATATAAAGGGTGCGTCGTTGGAACAATTGTATAAACATAGATATAAAATGCATACGAGAAATAAGAAGACACATGTGCAAAGGTAGTTAAACTCATTTGAGCTTGTGGTTTATCATTAAAAAAAAAATGGAGCCTTAGTTTTGTAAAAAAATATTGTTACACATATATAAAAAGGGAATAATATTAAATACAAAAAACATTTAAAGATTTAAAATACTTGAATTTTAGAACATACTAGATACGATATTACTCATATTTACTACCTTTTATACACCAAATAAATGCTTTACTGTATCTCCACATTTAAAACATATAAGGACCACAATGAAATGTTCCTTCTTTATGTTTCATACTTTAAAAAGATTTTGGTTTATAATTAAATTAAATCCACTTTGATCCCGAGCTTCTCTCTACTATTCCCTACAAATGTGAATAAATAAATGTACAAAATTAAATAGAGAGCATTAAAGTGTTTTTTATTTCGCAGTTCAATGGTTTTCACTTTGTTTTTGAAAAATCAAAAAGTTCGGTATTGGTTCCTTATTCGGTAGGTCGGCGATCTATAGCTCGCCTGACATTCTCACAAGACAAGGATTCACATCGTTCCAGAGTCACTGTACAAAGATAATATTAAAAATGAATAACCAGTTTTAGAATGAAAGTGAACTTTATGACACTTACAAAGACAAGTGGCCCTTGCGAGTTCACACCGGGTGATGTTGCGCCAGTTCCTCTCGGTGCGGCGACAGCTTTCGTTGAAACTGTCCGAGACATCGTTGGTCCTTCCATTTCTTTCGGCCCTGGACAGACATCTTTCATTCACACGTCGGCAAATTTCCCTTTCATTTTGAGCCTGAACGACCACGCAAAGGCAAATGAATGCTAAAAAGGGGTTGGATTAGTTTTGGCAGTATAACCTTTTATTCACAAGTCCTTACCAATAAACAGAGTGATCTTCGACATGGTGACTTTGCTGCCAAAACTCCCTTGTTCTTCTGTGATGAGTTCGACATTCCACTTGGGCTTTTATAAAGTCCAAGCCGCTTTGAAGGAATAAACTTCAGTTTTTTTTGAATACCTGGTATTATTACATTCAGGAAGCAGAATAAATGGCCTATTCAATTTTATATAAAGGTGTCCTATTTTGTTGATACATTTCCTGAAACTTTTTCATTTTGTATAAAAGGCATTTATCCCTGATTTAAAAGCCTGCCACATGTTTTAAAACATCTGCCCTGCGTAATTTTCGTTGTGTTGGATGTTTATATAAAGTCAAGACGGTTCGATGAGATCTGTAGTGAGCCCACTGATAAGTTCCTCTCAAGAGACGCCAAGCTAAAATAATGCATTTTAAAACCCTTTTGAGCGTATTTGCTGGTGAGTTCGGGTCGGAATAATAAGAATAAGTTGTTAAAGAATTCTAATTAAATTTTTTAAACTGATTTATAGTCCTGTGCTTGACATTGGTTGCTGGTCAGGAACGAGACTGCGATGAAATCGCCCGGAGGTGTGAATCCTGCGTGAGGCGTCTGAATAATCCAAGCGATCGCGATCTGCCCAATTTCAATAGGCAGTGCAGAGAAAGGACCCAAAGGAATTGGCGCTGGAGGAATGTAGGACGTTGTGAGCTCTCCAGGTTGAGCTGCTTGGGTAAGATCTGGTTAAAAAAGTTTTAAGATTATCGGTTTTAACAGATATATAATCTCAATTAGGTTGGGAGCGACGCATGAGCTGCGCCGATGTTGCTGAATTGGCTGGCATGGAGCGCAGAAGGAACTGATTCACTAAAATTATTATATACAAACGGATGATTAAATAAAAACTAAAGAGAGCATTAAAGTAAAACTAAAAAATCATTTTATTTACAAAACATAAGCAAGTAATTTAAATTTCTTCACGCCACTTTTGCATTGCATACCGCACTATTCGATCTTCTATTTCGTTAAAATTTTGATCGAGATCTAAGTCAGAATATTCTTGATCGTTGTGTTGGACTCCTTCAAAGTGCTGTTCATCAAGTTCGTCATCCACATTGTCACCAAGAAATTCAATTTCAGTTGTTAAATGATCATCGTATGATAGATCAATATCAGATGATGCCTCGGTTTCAGGATCTGGTTGATCGGTAGGGCCAATTGTAATATGATCATTGTTTTCATAGTGATCATCGTAATATTCATTAACTTCATTATCGCTTTCAGGGTACTCCACATTAGGCCGCGTCAGGTGATCATCAAGGGGCTCCTCCGGATCCACATAATCATCATTTTCTATGTTTGGTTGTCCGAAGTCTATGTAATATCACCTTAAAATCTAACAAATTAATTTAGTTATTTTATTGTCTTACCCACTAGCAGTAAAACGCATAGTAAATTTAAATGAAAACGTATTCCCATATTCTCCTTGTATATCTTACAGGTCTTAACATAAAAATAATACTGATGGCTGGCATATTAAAATTCACTCCATTTATTATTTTAAGGCTTTGCATATTTAAACAGCATTTTTTCCTTACTGTTTATCTAGAATGCTTTTTTTTAAATTTTAGCCATGGTATCGAAGCCTCGATTACCTCGATTATAGCTTCTTAAAAAGATGTACTTTTAGTCTGAGCACTCGTTTACAATCTCGTGTTCATATAATTCATGTCATATAACTAGGAAGGTGCTTATTTAAATATAATGGCGTTATATACGAACGCTAATAAGTCTGAATGTTTGCTTAAAAAATCACGTTTTGAAATTCTTCCGCTATCTTTATATTGTATATCTTTCAGATTTGAACTAAGATGTAAAACTGTCGTCTGGCATGTAGAAATTCATTGCTTATACCTGTGTTGATTCGCCTTTATTATTTACACAGCATTTTTTTTTTAATTTATAAGTAAGCTATACTCGTACTTAAATCTACTTTTTTGGATATAAAAAGCTGCTGGTGAAGTAACGAATATTAAAATGTTTCGTTTGTCTTATTATTTATTCCAGCCAGTACGTGATAAAAACGTAAACAAGGGTCATCAAAATAGAAATAAAAGATAAAGCTAAGAATTTTAAAAAACTCGAAGGCTAGTTAAAAATAAAGAAAATAAATTTTCTATAAACATAATATTTTATAACAATGCAGGACGTACCAGGCATATTATATAATTATGTACTTTCAGATTGTAATGCTTTATAAAATATACTATTTTATAAATTTAAGAACCCATTTTTTTTTATTTGTGTTAATATTATTGATGAGAATTACTTAAGGCCTATAGAGATAAGAATCTCCTGAAAGAACGGCTGAAAGCTTCTGGCCGTTCTCAAGAACAGAGCTTCACCACGAGCCCAGGGAGAAACCCACCACAGCCGATCGGGCTGAGAATGAACCACTATAACTGCGGCTCTCGCTGGTAAACAAAAGTCGGTCAAAAATCCGCGAGAGGAATACGCTGAAACAGACCTGTCTAAAAAAATAACAAAACAAAAACTGGCAGGCAGGCGTTAACACGCGTACAATATTGTTTAAACAAGAGACGAGATTCTGTCACTTCGCTCGATCTATCTGCTTAAATACACAATGTGATAACGTAGATTGCGGGCATTAAAACAATCTTTTCGAGCCGCGGTTCAGTCGCCAGCCATTGTCGCTGTTTTCCACACACCAAACCGAGATCCGAAATCTAAAAACGAAAAACCGAAGGAACAGAATAAATAATATATGGAATAATCACAGAATAGTCCAACTAGTTCAGTTTGTTGGCGGGTTACCAAAGAAACGGTCACGTTTGGCGGCTCAGTATATTGGTTTTCGTGCCAAATTCGGTTTATAATAAACTGTTAAAGTGATTGATTGATTGAGTGAGTGAGTGGTGCAATCATGGCTAATTACACAGTGGTGCGTGTGACCAAAGTGCAACCATATCTGCATACGGTGGGCAGTAGTTACGCGGCTTTGGCCAATGTCGACGGCTTTTATGGACCGACCTTGGAGGCCGGATTGCTGGATTTCCATGCAAATGGCAGTGCGACCCATGCCAATCTCACGGCCGAGAGTGTTCTGGTTCTACTGGGGGAGGAGAACTACAGCTATAGGTCCACCTCCACCATAGTCCTCATGGTTTCCGCCTGGATCCTGCTCATCCTGGGCTTTGTCTTCTGCTGCTGCGCCGAGTGCTGTGGCGTCAGCGTTTGGCGTGGCAAAAAGACGCGGTCCAGCGTCGAGGGCCTAAATCAGGTGGAACAGGGTGGCAGTGGCAGTGCCACCGCCCACGATGCAACTGCAGGTGAGTGCAGTCCAAGTTCTATCGTCGAAGCTTTTGTTTGGGGGCTCGTTTGCATACTTTTGGGCTGCCATGAGATATTGATTGGCCCCGGGGAGGCAGCAAAGTCAGGCAAGTTCTCCCTTGCCAGTGGATAACTGGAGTCATATTTCACGAATATCCCATAAATGGCAACAATAAACGAGCAGCCGGAGGGATATTCAAGATTTAAAAAGGCTGCATACCCTCTTCTGCCGTTGGCCATAATGAATATAGTGCTTAATGCATGTAAATCAAGTTATATTTCAAGTGTCCAGATCCAAAATCCAGAACCCTTCTAAAAATATAATAAATATTAAATATCTGATGAATTACAAAAGGGATTCTGTAGGAATAATAATAAGTATTATAATAAATTAGGAAAAACCCCTTTAATTAATTCCTTTTTTATATATATTTTCTATACAAAGTAACATAATAATGTAAACCGCTCCATAAGGAGTCTCAAAACATCATTGACCCCTCGAAAACCACAGGGTATAAAAATGCATTTCAATGGCCTGTCAATGCGCTTTACTGCCATTGCTGAACTACTTTTCGAATAACACGAAGGGGCTTCTGTGTATTTGGGAGTTGCTCTGCAGAACTGCCTGCCTCATCGATATCATACAATATTTAGCTATTTCTCTTATTTCGTTTCGCTCCGTTTTTGGCAAATTTGGCATGCGTTTTGGCCGAAAATTGGCTTTTGGCCAAGTTAACGAAACGTTCAGAGGAATGAATGCTTCTGCACAAACATTTACACACAAACAAACAAGCCACACTCGCATAAGGCCACCGAAAAAAATGAATTAATTTGGAATATGGGATTAAAGTTTTGACTTTTAAATTTTAAACTTAAAGTAAAGAATATATTATAATAATTATATTTTAAACTTTAAAATGCTTTTTTTTAAATGCTTGATTAAAACAATTGATATTCTAGGACAAGCTTTAGTGCTAAGATACAATGCTAAATATTGTCAGTAACAATTAAACATAATTTTAAATTTTGGTATTTAAAAACTTTGGATGCCTATTGTAAAACAACCAGTACTTACTTTTTCACAATAAAATCGAATTATTATTTTAAAAACTATTTAAATAACTTGACATATTTTTTCTCAGTGCAGTGATACTAGAATTTCGCCCGATAATTTGGTTGCATATGCTGCGCTCAATGCAGCTCCTGTTTGCATTGTTGGCAATTAGCATTGTCTCGAAGATATTGCGTTTCATTAGAGCGATATGGGTTCGAGAGTGTTTGTTTGCGCCTGTGTTGGTGTATGGATAGCAGTGTGTGTGAGCCAGAATGCAGAGCAGTCAATGGGTCATTTCGATAACGGGAGAATTTGTTGCAAAATTTGTTTGGCATTTAAGCCGAAACTGGGATTTGTGCATTGTGCGGCTGCCAAAAGCTTAAGTTGTTGCATTTCGGCCATGGTATCTGCCGATTTCTGGTGTGCTTTTGTGCTCTGGCATTTCAACTTAACAACCGAAACGATATTTCAGCCAATTGTGAGTAAGCACAGATGAGAGGTTCAAAGTGCACATAAATAGGGTTTTGTTACGCCCATTTAAGTCAATGAACGTGTGTTTAATTAAAAGCGATGACGTTTGCGAAGAGTATCTGTGTTGCTTTCGAAAGCTATGCAAATAGTTGTCTGAAAGTTAGTTCTAGTTTAGTTAGAGCAAAACCAATATTTCATGCCCTATTGAATTTCTTAAAAATTGTCTGATACAATCCACTTTATTATCCACACCAACTCAAGATCAATAATCCCCCTACGTATTCCACTAACCTAGACAATATATTTCTATCTATCTACCTCACGATGGGGTACATTCAATTTATTCGCCTGAGCGCATTTGGCCCATTTCGATAACAACATAAGAAGCATCTTAGTGTGTCAGTGCAATAAATTCTTCCACTTTCGTTTCGAACTGTGGCCACAAAACGTGCCCGGGTCTTGTAGACCTCCCCGACCAATAGTTGCCTACTTAATGCCCCTGTTCCTTATTCTCCTTTTGGCCCACACAGGCAACTTAAAGTTGAGAGCCATAAAAATTGCGCAAAGTCACAAATGTTTTATGAAACTTTCTGTTTTTGTTCTTTTTTTTATGTATATTTTATTTAGCCTGACGCTCATTTCGCTGCACAAGTTTTAATAAAAAACTTCAGCCTCTTGTGCGAACCGACTGCAGTCGATGCTTTTGCCCCCCGACTTTTCTGTTCAGGAATTCATAACCGCATTTCTCTCTCGGGTCGCCGGGAAAGTGTGGGGAAATTGTGGAAAGCCAGGAGGCGCAGTTGTACATACCAATTGCTTATGTATCGACAATATGGGGCTGTGAGTGCAGCCCCTACTTGCCACCCACCCAGAAAACCCACCCACCCAACGGGCCCCAGCTGATGCGGCAAAAGCCCGGGCGTATAATAAGTTTTTGTCTTCCAGCGAGGAGAGGCGCCTGCCAAGTTCTTCGCCCCGAGTTGAATCTATAATTCAGTTTTCCCAGCTATTTTCTTTTGTCTTCGGTGCGTAGGCCACTTTAAAATTTCTTAGCAAATTTGCCAAGAGGATACTAGAATAACTCCTTTGTTACAATAGAAGATAGTTTTTGTGGAACAAGTACCACGAGTAAAAACTGGAATAATATTTTTAACATAATATCTTAAATATGCAATAAATTTAACATGTTTAATACCAACTTTAATGATTAAACTAAATTGTTTTGAAAAAATTTGTTGGGTTAGAAATTACAGTATTTTTAAACTGTTTGTACATTTGTAAAAATAATTATACATTTTCATCTCCATTTTAAATCTAAAGCAAAATGCAACATCAATATTTTTTCAGAAAATGATTAGGCTAAAAATAACATTATTAATTAATCCTTTTCGACTATTATTCTCTATCTAATATCCTAAAAATAAAATTAAAAAAACATGTTTAAATCAACTTAAGCTATTAAATAAAACAGTCTTTCCCAAAAATTATTCGTTTTAAAAATCCAATATTTTTGAATCCTGATATAAAACGGACAAATAATTATTCCTTTTAATCTCCATTTTAAATCTAACACAAAATTCAATTTAAATTTTTTTCAGCAAATGATTAGGTTGCTTGACCATTATTCTCTAAATTTCACGTTATAAAAATATACATACTTTAAAAGTAGATACACAGATTTCTACTCTGCGCTAAGAAACCGAAACAAACTTTTTATTATTTATGCAAGCCAAAATGCGTAAAAATTTCTCCCAACTTTATTTGCTGTTTACGCGCTTCATTTGCGGGCCAAAACAGCGCCCACTTGGCTGGAAACCCCACCAAAAACACGGGAAACCCCCCACAACAGCCAAAACCACCCACTGTCCCGATAATTCGTGTACATCATTTTTTACAGCTGCTCATCAGTCGGTGGCTCTGCTTAGTTAGTCTTTCATGGCACTTTGATTGCTCATTTGGCATTTATTTGATGATGCCAGGACCCGTCTGTCTTCGGGGTCCTTAAATTATTCATTGTGCGTGTGCGCGGCTCCTGCGTCTCCTCGCTCGTCATCCAACATCTAAAACATCGTCTCAATCTTGCGATGAGCCCGGCGAGTTCTTTAAAATATTCATGTCCCGCCTTTGGCTAGGGAAAAGAGCAAGGAAAAAATCGAA